ATAAACTTTCCAGGCTTTTGTTTGCTGGATGTTCTAGTTTTTGTAGTTTTTTTCTGATGTCTGAGGTGCATTGTCCCATCATTAGTCCTAATAACTGTTGTTTTCCTTCCTCTGATGCTGGGTCTAGGGGTGTGTACTGTCCCATAGCTGCCCTAAGTCTATCCAAAAATTCTGAAGGGGTTTCATCTTTTCCTTGTCTGACGTCATATAGCATTGCCCAATTGATGGCCTTAGCTATTGCATTTCGCAGACCTATTGCTATTAACTTCCTATATTGCACCAACCGCCCATATTGAACTGGATTATTCGGATCCCACTCTGGGTTTTGATTGGGAAATATTATATTTACTCTTTCAGGTAATAATGCAGCATGCTCCCTTCCTGTTCTCAATACGAGTTCCTTCTCTGTTTCTGTTAATTCTGACAACATTACCTCTATGTTTTCCCAATCAATATCTTGGTTCTTTGCTAATAATTCAAACTTCCTAGATACTCTCTCTGGATTCTTTCTGAAGTTTCTTGCTTCTTTTCTCCAGCTATTTAAATTACTTGTTGTAAATGGTACTTTTATTCGTGCTTGTTCCCCTGCAATAGGCATTATTCTTCTAAGGGGAGCTATCGTATAACTCGTTTCGTCCCTTTCTTTTACTTCTTTCCATGCTACAGATCTTGTGTAATATGAATAACTGGTTCCCTCCCCGGGATCTTCTTCCTGGGTTTCGGTATCTGTTCTATTCTTTCTCTTTTCTGTTCTCTTTCCCTGTTTTCGTTCCTCACTCTCACTTTCCAAACCATCTGCCAAGTCATCCTCTACTAACCCCCTGGCATGGTTTACGCAGTCCAGCTGCCTCTCTTTCCGTATTTGGATGAGACGCTGACGACGCTCAACCTGCCCTGAGACACTACTTTCTTCGTCTTCTTCTCCCTGCATATCTCTTTTATCCTCTATCTGAATGACTATATTTAACTTCTGTGAGTTGTTTGCTTTTTCTCCCGGGTTTACTACATCGTTATTTTCTTCCCTGTATTTTAACTCGGGGAAACCACTCTCTTTTCTGGTGCTCCCTGATCTCGGCGGGCTACTTTCACTTTCATAATTCCCATTTTTTGGCGTACTGCTTTCTATTTCGCGGATGAGCTGCTTATATCTCTCAGTGTACTACAATTTCTACTCTGGCTACCTTCTATTTGGGCGGGCTTTTCTTTTCCCCACGACCCTCTAGCTCTAGTCGTGACGGGCTGCTTTCTTCCCTATTAATCTACTTATGTTTCCCCCTGTAATCCCCCTCAAGTCTTTCCAATGCTTCAGGACACACCCTAAGGGGGTTTTCATGTTCATATCTTTACTTTGTGTTAATATTTCATGCACACAATTCTCAATCGCTTCGTCCGTCTCTGGTCTGACTTCTTGCGAAGGACAGGAACCGCAGATTAGGACTCCCTCTCGCTTCATAGCAATGCTACGTCTCAGTCATTCTCAATCACACCTGCACCTTTGTAAAATCTTTTACAAGCAATAAACAGAACTTTTTCTTTATACCTTTAAATTTCAAACAACATATTAGCAAGAAATTCCTCGCATTCCAAAAACCCTTTCTTAAGAGTAATTGTTGGAAACGTTCCCGGACTTTGGTTGGAAACGTTCCCGAAACTTGGAAACAATCCTAGATTAGTTAGAAAACATCTTTAGCCAGAAAACTTTCCACTTTTCCCTTTAACTCTTAAAGCGCGACTTTAAACATGTTATGAACACACAAAACAAAACCAGTCACACAGTAGAATTTTAACCTGCCTTTTTCTACACCTGGGCCTCTAACCCAGCTTTGGCGGGACTCTAACCCGCTCTCCTCTATACCTGGGCCTCTAACCCAGCAGGGATTAATGCCAGGGCGTCCCCTTGGCTTTCCCCGGGCGGTGACGTCTCACCCCCGTGTTTTAACAGAGTGCTCTTAGTTTTAAAAACATATCAAATAAAATACCTCTTAATTTGAAGCAGGAGATCTTGTCCACCGTTGCGTGTAGGTCCTAGGGGTCTGGGAGTCTCTTTACCGACAAAAGATCCGTCAGGAGGGCCCAGAGAGTCCCTGGCCCCCCGGGCCACAGCCCCGGGAGACAGAGAGAATGTCCTGCCGCAGGTCGCCAATTGAAGCCGAATTTTTGCCCCAAAAAAGCACAAAGAGACTGCTTTAGAGATAAAATTTGTTTCTTTAAAGCAGGAGGTATTTTAATGCAACGCGTTGGAGAGTTCCCAGGTCATCCTGGACAAAGAACTCTGTCGAATACATTTAGCACAGTTCTTTTATACGGTTTTACAGTATAGGATTACATCACAATCATGCATATTCATTAAATTGCAACATCTACTTGTAATATTCATATATAGGCGGAGTCTTTAATTTGGGGAGGTTTAGAGGTGGGAGTTCCTGTAGTCTTCATCGTGGGCAGTGGTCGTTTGCTCTTCTTCATCGCTGTAAACTTTTGAACTTTCCTCAGATCTTTCCTAATTTGGATAGTTGGCAAGTGTAGTAGGGTCAGGTTGACTTTTGGCTCGTTCTGAGATTTGCTGATTTTGTTATCTTTTCGTTTTATGCTTTAAATGTTCTATCTTGTCAAAATGTTCTATTCCTCAGTCAATTTATTACTTCTGTGGTTTCCTAATACTAGGGTTTTGGAACTACTTCCACAATTTTGTGTTTGAGTTAACCTTTTGTTTCTCAAAGACTGCCTCAAAGACTGCCTCAATTGAGTGGCTTCATCTGTATGTTTGCAGCAAGAGCTGCTTAAGGACCAGCTTACTTACCTGGCACACCTGGTTGAACAGCTGGAGAAGGACAAAGAGCGAGAAGAAAAAGATGAGAAGATATTCAAGGAAGAGAATGATCAGGTTTGGGCCGAGAGGCTTGAGAAATTGAAACGAGAGAGGGAAGCTCGATTTCAGCTGCTGAGTGATGTCGTGAATACCAGACAGCAGCAGATGAAGGAGAAGTGTAAGTGCTAACATGGGTTGCTGCCTGTGCCCCAAACCTGAACAGGTCTGTCCAGCACCTGGCCCAGTGTGCATGGGCTGTGTGGTTGAGTGGACAACAGTGTGACTGTCCCCAAACCTCACTGCCTCCCAAACTTCACTTATGCTAATTTCCCACTGTTGTCACCAGAGCAAAGCCTGGTAAAGTAAGGGTTGCAGGAGCAAGCAGTCATTATTATTAATTACATTATTATGAAGTTCTGAATGTGAAAACTTTCAGATGAAAGACAAATAAGCTGAGAATACACTTGCTGTTGTTTGTGTGCCTATGTAGAAGCAACAAAACTCAGGCTTCCTCTTTAGGCTACTTGGCCTGAATGCTGTCTTCAAACTTGGCAGAGCTGTTATCTTCTAAAAGTGCTTTGGGTTTTGTTTTTCAGTGGAGAAAAAGGCAGAGAAGCAATTAGAAATTGCTGAAGAGAGGAAGCTATTAGCTGAAACATTCAGAGAATACAAACGTTTGGAAGAACTAAAATGTGCAAGGTATTTTTCTTTTATGCCATCGGTTCCTTTCATTGCAGATCACTCCTTTAAACTTCTGAGTAACCTAATTCTCATTTTCTGATAACTCTAAGAGCAGTGGGTGGGCTTTCTTCTGTTCAGAGGGGCTCTCCCACCATGCAACTTACCAGTTCCAAGCTGCTTAATACCAGACCTGTAATATTGCAGTTGGTATTAAACCACTAATTCTGATCTCAGCATGCAAATAACAGTACATACCCTAGTTTTGTTTTTTTTTGGACCATCATGTGACTTACACGAATTATGTTTATTAAGTATATCCCCTCATACTCTGAGGTGTTGTTACAAGTCACAGAGGTTTGGGGAGGAAGTTTGATGCAAGGTTTGTTTGTTCTTTACCCAGGAGAGCTAGTGTGTTCAGGCTTATTGCTAAACTCCACCCACACACATCCCTAAAACAGTCATAAAGTCAGACACCAAAATGCCACACCAGGGCTGTGTAATGTGTAACCCAGCTGCATGGGGCTCTCCATGCCTCACAGTTCCTCTGGATGAGGGCATCCTTGCACACAGTAGCTGAAATGCTCCTCTGGGTGTCATGCAAAGCCTTGGGCAAAGGGCCTTATCTCACTGAATTCCCCTTTTGAACTCCTGCTTCTCCCCATTTGTGTGTGGGACTGTAACCCAGCAGCTCCTTCCCGAGCTTCTGTTGTGCCCTCCGATGGGAGCAATCTCCTGGCTGCGGCAGAAATGTCACCCTTCTGAAGGAAACACGCTGGTGGGCTCCAGCTGGGATGTGCTCCACTTGGCCAAGAGGGCATTCAGCAGTGTCAGAAAGGGTTTGTGCCACAGCTCTTGTTGAGTTTCTGCACAAGTCCTGACTAGGCTGTTGGCATTTTAAGTGCCTGTGTGACTCATGCTCCAGAAGGGCCTGAACACGAAAGACTTCCACTGCTTCTCCAGAAGGTAGTGAAAGCAATACAGGAGTCCTGAGGGGGGATGGAGGAATGATTCCTTGTGACAGCCCTTTCCAGGAACATCAGTGCAGCAGGAGCCTGGGCCTCGCGGGCAGGGACTTGTTCTCCTCAGCAGAGGAGTGGGCAGGGGGTTCAGCCAGGAGAGGACTGAGAACCAACACTGACTGCAAGGAGCTGTTCCTGCTCTCGTGCTCATCAGGCACCAGTTTTTTACTCTGCTTTATAAGATACAACAGAACGCAATTAATTACCCGAAGAACATAAGGTCAGCACGTGGCATTTGGTTAACAGTGGTAGTTATTCTTAACACCTGAAATGAGTCTTGAATGGTTCTTTAGGCTAAACTTGAATGCTAACATATATAACAATAACAACAACAACAACAACAATAATAATATCATCATTGTGGCTAGGCTTTGCTAACAAAGATTTGGTGATGATGATAATGATAATAATAATGTTATTAATAACAACAACAACGTTTATTCTTTTTACCCACCCTTCTTAAATGACCTGTTCATTTGGCATTTCCAGAAAAATACAGAAAGCCAATGAATACCAGGATCAGCTCACGAGTCAGATTTCCTACCGGCAGTACCTCCGTGAGGAAGAGGAAAAGGAGAGGAAACGGGAATACGAGGCAGGGTTGGAAGCACAGAGGGAGTATGAAGAAGAGGTGCAGTTCATTCTGTCAGCACCCCGGGACTCCATACTAAAAACCCACCCTATGAGAAAAGCACTGATGTCTGACTCTTAGGGGCATCACTCACTATGATATTTTAGCTCACTCGCCTTTAAAAACATTTTCTAAGGGTGTTTATGCCTGACTAGGGTTAGCAGAACTCTCTCCACTCTGATACTCAAAACATTTAATTGGAATTTATAAGAAATCTACTACTCCAAACTTTATTTTTCCCCTATGGATTTTTTTTTTTTTGAGAAAACGACTGATCCAATAAAAATGTTTGACATTTTAATTCGAGAATACTGTATGTTCTCTGCAGTATAATAGCGTATTATTAGGACACATAAGACACATAGACATTCTTTAAAATCTGCACCAAGAAAATTTGTGGAAGACTTTCAGCAAACTTTTATTAAAATGCCTTTCTAACTGAAAATATTTGCAGGATCTTTTTTTTTTTAATATATTTAGATAAAAAAGTACTTGGTGACTCATCTTAATTACAGTTGTTAAATATAAAACTATGAATCTGTTTTACTGTGGGATGGACAGTAAAGAGCTAGATATTCTTTTGCATAAACTCTGACGGCTGTTGGATGATCTGTGGAACACCAGAGCCCAAAGCTAGTCTGTGAGTCCTCTGCTTGAGCACAATTAATTGTGCAGAGCTGAAGTTATTATTTTCTAGTTATTTTTCTATCATTTTCATGGCAAGTCTGCCTCCCTGGGCTCCTTGGATTTTCACCAATGCCATGGTCTGAACACACGGAATGGGGGGCCAGAGCACCAACAACATTTTAAGATGGAGCAACAAAAGAAGTGGCTGGATGTGAGCAGGGAAGGGTTGGGAGGGTTTTGGCAGGTGGGGAGCAGGGACACATCCTCTCTGCCTTCTCAGGTCCCCATGTCAAAGGGCAGATCACCCTGTGTGCAGAGGAGCAGGGGGTGACCCAAGGAGGATGGGTAGGAGCAATCCATCTTCTCCCCGTGCCTCTGCCCTCAACCAGCTCCTTCCTGTGTATTCAATTAGTTTTCCCTCGGTCCTTTTCAGAGGAGGGAGGTGAAGAATCCGTTTAAAACTTCATATCCCTTCTTGCTTATAGCCTTTGCGGCATCTGTAAATGTTTTATATTATTTATTTCATTTTTCCCTTTGCATCTTTACTGCTGCTTATCAGCAGCTGTTTCTCTCTCCTTCAGCTTTTCATCTTCTCCTCTCTTTGCTCCAGCTTCTACACCCTTTTTTTCTTCCATTTGTCTCTAACCACTTTCTCTACCCTTTTCGTCCTCCCTACCTTCCTTTTCAGTGTTTGCCTCCCTGTTGGTAAATACCAGGGCTTTTGTGTTTTTGTTTTGTGGGAGCATGAATGGGTGCACAGAGGAGCTGATAAATGGCTGGGATCAGAGCCCAGGAGCCCCAGCTCCCAGACATCTCAGAACAAATCAGGAATAAGCAACCTGCAAAGTCATCTCATCTTGGTTTAAGGCAGAAACCGAGTTCACAAATGTGTTGTTTCTTTTTTTTTCCTGTGGAGAGAAAGGCCAGGTAGAAATGTACTAATCTGAAACAGTACCAGTGATGTTTGAACAACCCACCTAATTCTGGGTGTAAATGCTGGAAGAACCTGGCCCTGCTGAGGGGAAAAGGAGCATAGTGGGATTTTATCCTTGCTTACAGACAAAATTTCTCAGAGAGGAGCATCCTGAGTCAGCAGATGGAAGAGGGGCAAGTCCACTGGCTGTTACCATCCAGGCAGGTGATCAGACAGAGCAGAGCAAAGCCTCTTCATGTCTTATTCCTTGAGTCCAAATAGGGTTTGTGTCCTACAGATACAGAAAAAGGAAACCTCCAAGGAAGTGAAACATTGCAGACTGGGAGAGGTGAGCTGTTAGTCGGGATTTTGAGCCCCTACACAGTGCTTTTCAGCAACCATTTGCAAAACCCTACAGAGGATTTCAGAGCTGCTCCTCCTGTTTTGCTGGTGGGAAAGGTCAGCCCAGATAATGGAAAAAGTTTCATCAGCCCAGAGAGCTGAGGTAGTCATAGGTCTGTCCTCTCACTGCTGGGTCAAATTGGCAGAATGATTAAGAGATTAATTTCCTGGTCTGCCGCAGACTCCTGGAGTGGCCCTGTGCAAGCAATGTAGATTTTTCTTTACTACTGTGACCTCTCTTTGAAAAATGAATAGCACATCCAGAATTCCAGGATTAATTAAAGTATGTTATTAAAGGCTGTGACATTTGTTGGGTACATATGCAATATGAGAGAGGAAAAAAATACCACATTGTTGAGCTTGGTGAATTTAAACCATCCAGAACCATAACGAATTTCTTTTTTTAATAAAATAATAACTCAGAAGAAGTGGTCAGAGCTATCAAACATTTATAGAGTGTCTGAGCTCCTGCTCCTGGAGGCAAAATTCCTCTGCAGTGAACATGAGGTCTGCACAAGATTAAAAGATCAGACTGGAAGAAGTTTGCCTTCAGCAGGAGTGAATTCCCATGGGATAATGGGCAACTAAGCTCCTCTGAGAGAAAACTGGTGGTGGATGAACGTGCTGCTGGGGCTGAATCCTTTGCTGGCAAGTGCTTTGTAGAATTCAGGTTGGTCCAGAAGAGCAGGTGGGGCTGGGTGGGTCAGCAGACTCCTTGAGAGGCACCTTCTCGCAGCCCCCAACAGTCAGATGAGCGATGCAGTGAGAATGGTTTTCTCCATCAAGACTGAAGAGTCTCCTTAATCCTACTGATTTCCCTCTTCTTCCAGTTCTTTTGATGTCCCTGCAGCAAACTGTGCAAATAGGGCACTGAGCAGCACGTGCTTCAAAGCATGGTCGTGCCTTTGCCTCCCTGGGGCCAGCACTCGTGTTACATTTGGGACTTACAGATCACCAGGCAATAACTGAGCAAAACGGATCTGGAACTGTGGCTTGCAGGTCCCAGGAACCTCAGGAGCGTTAGCTACCGCCAGTGAATGTGGTATTTTCTGCCTGAGTGAGTAATCCTGCAGCCAAACCATCTATTAAACCCAGAGCGCAGGGACAGGGCTGGTGAGGGAAGCAGCCTGGTCCACGGCTGGGTGAGCTCTCCCTGCACCAGGGCTCTGAGCCACACAGAGACAAAACCACTAGCATTTAAAAACCTGGCAGTTACAGCCTCTTCACTTCTACAGGTACTAGAGCTCTGCAAAATATTCTTCCCTGTATTTTCTAATTAAAGTTTTGACACTGACGGAGGAAGAGCAGCGTGGGTGATTCGCCTGTCCCTGATCCATCATCCCAGGCCCACTCCAAGGTCTGAACCTACAGCACTTGTCAAGGCTGTCAGGCTTTTCTACGCTCATCCATCTGCTCACAAAGGCTTTTATTCTGACCCCAGGGCTCTCCATGGTGATGTTTTTGGCCATGCATGAGACCTTGAGCTGTGAAGTGGCTCCTGGTGCCCCATGGCATGGTGCTGGCTTGGCCCCTGCTCCGGGGTCTGGGCTGCAGGGCTTTGGACAGAATCAGTTTTATTTGCAGGAAAATTCCTCTTGGTTAATTATTTGTTGCTTTAACACCCGGAATAAATTTTCATCACTTTAACTCAGGTAGAAGCAGTTGCTGCAGAAACAGCCAGTGCTGCCGTGCCCAGGGCTCGGTGACACTGCCAGACCCAGTTTCCTCACGTGGTGACTTCTGTGTGGCCCAGGAGGAGGGAAGTCCAGATTTGAGGTCTTTGGGACAGCTTTGCATGCAAAAATTCAGGACCTGTCACTGTCTTTAGGAACAGCCAACTCTGTCCTGGTGACATTTGGAGCTGTCGGAATTGATGCCCCTCACTGCCCTGTGCCGTCATCTGTCCATCCATCCGTCCCTGGGGTCTCCATGTGTCATTGCAACACAGAGACAAGGCTGGGACCTTAAAATAAAGTCCAACATCCACCTTATACTTGCAAGGAACCCACTGGCTCTGCTTAGAGGGGGGAAAACCCCCCATATTTGGTTCATTTTCACCTCTAAGTGCCTTCAACGCAAATGCCAGAGAGGATACCATAAAATGCTATTTAAGAGCCATTGCTTGTTAAATATGATCGACACAAGTTTTGATTCCCAAACAAAAATAATCTATCTCCTTGGAGGAGACAATGTCCAGCAGCTCAGCATTTAGGATGTACTTCAGGGATTTTGTATGTATTTTGGTGGGTTTAGTTTCTGGCTTCAATTGAAGTTTTAGATTAATGGAGAATCACACATGGCACCAGCTGGTATTTCATGGGAACTGCTGTGCTTTGCCTCTGGGCTATTACTGCTTCCCCAGCTTCACTGAGCTTTGCTTCTGCTTGCACTGCTGCTCCACGTTTTGTTTCTACAGCTGATTTAGTGAAAGGAGAGGAGCATGTTTTGTTTGCCTGACAAAGCTCTCTTGGAGGTTTTGCAGAGATTATGCTGTCAAATTTTTTCCCAGGGTAATTTCCAGTCGCGGTGCAGCTTTTTCTCCCCCCCTTTCCTCCTACCCAAACTTCCCCCAGAGCCACCTGCAATTTACTTGGATTCATCAAAGACATCAGAGCTGGAAAAGAGAGGTATCTGCGATGCCGGTTCTCCTCCCACCCCATCGGTGCTGCGCTCTGCCAGGCTCTGGGGTGGAAAAGGGAAAAGATTCCAAAGGGGGGAATTTCACCCCCAAAGGGATGCGGAGCAGAGGGTGAGATGCCACCAGCAATGGCTCTAAAGAAAGGCTGAGGGTGCTCTGTGAGCAGCACAGCCCGAAACCACGGGAGGAGGGATCCCAGCGACAGAGCAAACAACTGTGACAGAGAACAGGATCCGCCGAGTGTGTTTTCTGCCTGCTTAGTTAATATGCAAAATGCCTTGAATGATAAAGAACGGCAATAGTGATTAATTAGGAACACTGCATTTGCATCATCCTTCCCAGGCTCTAAAAGTGCCTTATAAGCATGAACTGAAGCATAGGGTGCTCCCGTGGGATGGAGGGAAGCAGAATGGCCAGGGATTGACAGGCAGGGATCAATTTTTGGCTGTTGCTGCCAAAGTAACAATTCCTTCAGTGTAGGAGTGTCACACAGGCAGTGTCCTGGAGCCGTGTGGGTGGTGGGACCCCAAATCCACCTCCAGGAAGGAGAAGGCCGAGAAAAACCTATCCCTGGCACGTTCCTTGAATGGATTTTCAGTGGGTTCATGTCATAGTTCTGATTTTAGCAAGAAATTTTGTCTTTCCTTTCCCCTTCCCCCTCCTGCGTGTATGTTGTTAATGGGCCATCAGATAAACAAAGGAGTTGGCCTGAGCCCTAAATGACCAGACATTAATCTCCTAGCAAGGAAGGGGGAGGAATTGGGAAAAAGGTCAGGGTGTGTGTATGGAAAGAGGTGGGGTTTGGGGGGTTGGAGCTCAGCTCTGGAGTCGGAGGGGAGGCTGCAGCAAGCAGGAGAGAGTGCCT